AGGGATAGAATCAAGAACAGGTGAAATGTTAGTACCACTTTACAATGCCTTGGTAAGACCACACTTGGAATGCTGCAACCAGATTTGATCGCCATGCTATAAAAAAGATGTTGAGACTCTAGAAAGAGCACAGAGAAAAGCAACCGAGATGATTAGGGGACCGAAAGCTAAAATATATGAAGAACAATTACATGAATTAATTTAATGAAAAGGACTGGGGTTGACATGATAGCAGTGTTCTGATATTTGAGGGACATCCACAAAGAAGGGTGGGGGGAATCAACCTATTCTCCAAAATACTTGAAGGCAGGACAAGAAACAATGGGTGGAAAATAATCAAGGAGGGATCCAATGTAGAACTAAGGAGAAATTTCCTGACAATTAGAACAATTAATCAGTGGAACGGCTTGTCTCCAGAATCTGTGGGTGCTCCAATTCTGAACATTTTTAAGAAGAGATTGGACAATCATTTGTCTGAAATGGTACAGGGTTTCTTGTCTGAGCAGGGGGTTGGACTAGAGGACCTCTAAGGTCCCTTCCAACTCTGTTATTCTGAATATGACTTACTCTGGGAACTACAAACTACATCTCTTCAGAATCTTCTTTTTTTTCCCCTTTCCAACAAAGGTTAGGAATAGTTGTGGCCCTGGCTTCCTCAAGTTTGTCAGAAGATGAACAAATATAAGGAGCAATGTTCTCTGGTAGATGCATTCATTCACAGACAGCAAGTTTCAGGTTTAATCCTTGGCAGTCCAACGAGAAGGATAAAATAGTGGACAAATATATATTTGGCTGAAGAACTTGAAGCACCACTACATGTCACAGAATACAACAGTTGGCTAACTATTTAGCTAAAACACCTGATTTCATACAACTGCGCATTATCTTTCTACTTATTGGGCAAGGATAATGGCAGGACACTGAAATCTGGCTCAAACAGAAAAGTTTTCTAAAGCAGATGGCGAACATTCTCTTTATCAGATGGGTAACTGTTTCTGTTTCTTTCCCAAATTGTACTTCCACATATTAAATTTAAATATTGACTAAATTCTGGTTTGAAACAAGCATTAAGGGAAAAATAGTAGATGCAAAGGGTGAGGGAATATCCAGATGGTGAAATATACAGAACAGTATTTCTAAATCTGAAAAATGTGTTATTAGTGCACTAACAGAGCAATTGTCAACTGACAATCTTTGGATACAACCATTTTACCTGGCCCTTGGTGGTACTATCAGATTTTTAATCAAAGTGCTGCATTATAAAAAAAAAAATGGCTTGAAGCATCTCTTTGAAAAAGACATTTGTAAAACCAAGTTAGGGTTATGCTTTTTAAACATACATTCTTAGCCTAAGATCCAATGTTCACTGATATTTATATTCAATTACACTTCAGGCAGCTGTTATTTTTAGACAGCAGATGTTGAAAATCGACATTATGAAGTTTGAAAATGAATTTAAACCTTATAACCACAATCCTCTGGCAATGGACTCAATCACTTCGAAATCAATAGGATGGTGATGATGGAACAGATTACAAAGAATGTAAAATGACCCAAAATCATCCTGGCAATTTAATGCATTTTATGTGCAAAGGCACATTGAGCTGGTCCTTCGCTATTTCCAGGGTGGCCCCACAGGCCAGATCTAAGCACCCTGTGGGCAGGATGGGCCTTGAGTTTGACACCCTTGCTCTATAGTTATAACATGGTCTCAGGAAAATAAATGTTTGGTTTAAATCAGTGTTTCTCAACCTTACCACTTTATGCTGGGTGGATTTCAGTTCCTATGCTGGGTGGGGAATTCTGGGAGTTGAAGTCCACCCATTTTAAAGTGACTAAAATGGAGGAACACTGGTTTAAGTAACTACAGATTGTTTCTACACAAATAACTACAGAGGCTTCAGTGATCTACTTGCCTATCCAAAATATATACAGACTTAGGAGTAGACACAAGCCATTGAGTCTAATCACGAGGGAACATGAAATAAGCACAATTCTAAAAACTTCATGGGACAGAAAGATTTACCGCATGTCAAAGAAAGCAAATCTTGAATTACTCTGCCATCAATCAATTCTAAACTCAAAAAATCTTAAACAAGCCAAGAATCCAGAACACTTTGAACAGAAGTGGGACCATATTTTTCATTCAATCAAAGTGTTCAACATTCTGCCTGCAGCATTTAGTATCATTTGCAAACTCATTTCAAAGAATCGATACAATTAGGTCATTTGCTGTTTGACTGGGAGAAATAGCAATTTTAGAATTTCACTTTATTTTATTTTTATTTTATTTATTTTGATTTGTCAATCGCTTACAAGATAATAGGTATAAGTATATACATAGTTATGAATACATGAAATGGGTACATATAAGAAAAATAAAAGAAACAATAGGACAGGGATGGTAGGCACGTTGGTGCGCTTATGCACGCCCCCTACTGATCTCTTAGGATAGGGGTGAGGTCAATAGTAGACAGTCTAAGGTTAAAGTTTTTGGGGTTTGGGGAAGAAACCACAGAGTCAGGAAGAGTATTCCAGACACTGACCACTCTGTCGCTGAAGTCATATTTCCTACAATCAAGTTTGGTGTGGTTTACCTTGAGTTTGTATCTATTGTGTGTTCTTGTGTTGTTATGGTTGAAGCTGAAGTATTCATTGACATGTAGGACATTGCAATGTATGATTTTATATACCATACTTAGATCAGACCGAAGACGGCATAATTCAAGGTTTTCTAGGTCTAGAATTTCAAGTCTGGTGGCATAAGGTATTCTTACAACAAGTAGAGGAGTCTTCTTGTGAAATATTTCTGGACTTTCTCAACTTTGCTAATATCAGATACATAATGTGCGTTCCAGACTGATGAGCTGTATTCGAGTATTGGTCTAACAAATGTTTTGTATGCTCTAGTTAGTAGTGTGATATTACCAGAGAAAAAGCTACGTAGGATTAGGTTAACAACTCTTAATGCCTTTTTGGCTATGTAGTTACATTGGGCCCTAGTACTTAGATCATTAGAGATGAGTATTCCAAGGTCCTTTACAGAGCTTGGATCATCAACAAGGTCTTGACTATTCAGCTTGTATTTTATTTTCTGATTTTTTTTTTGCCAATATGTAAGACAGAGCATGTATTTGTTGAGATTTGAAGTTGCCATTTGTTTGACCATTCTGATACATAGTCAAGATCTTTTTGAAGGGTAGCAGTATTGTCTGTGGTATTGAACAGCTTTACATCATCAGCAAAGAGAACTCAGTTGCTCTTAATATGATCACAGAGGTTATTTATGTAAAGTATGAAGAGAGTTGGTTCTAGAACACTGCCTTGGGGGACACCACTATTGACAGGTACAGAATTTGATAGGACACTCCCAATTTTGTCCATTTGTTGTCTGTTTGACAGGAATGCTTCTATCCAGTTATGCAGTTGTCCAGAGATACCGTAAGATTTTAGTTTTAGGAGTAGTTTGTCATGTACCACTGAATCTTCCATGCCATCATATAGATACAAGGTATTTCACAAGATAGCTGTGCTTCAGAATAAGGCCTGAGGTTTCCTGTACTTTTATTATCAATTTTCTTGCATTTCTGGTGCTTGAAATAGGGAAGAATAATATATGTGGTGGCATGGAGCAGCTGGCAAACAAAAAAGATCTCAGAAAAATAGAAGAGACCATCAGCATCTCTACCCCATTTCCTGGAAGAGGTCACTAGCAAAGGAGCCAGAAATAAAACTGTCAATATAATGAAACAGTCATATAAAGAATACGATGGAACTTATTTAAAAATTTCTAATCTTCTTTTAAATGTTAGCATAATAACTATTATTTTATAAACCAAAACCTGAAGCTTCTTTTAAAACCTCTCTTTTCCAGTTGAAGTCAGTGAGAGAAAAAATTTCCTTCAGCAAGTATGGTGTAAAACTGAATGTTCATTGAAGGCACAGCTATACATGTATACAATTAACTATGTTCCTTCCAGGACTATGCATACACTTGAATAGCATCCGCTAGGGCAGGAGTATCAAACTTACGGCCTGCGGGCCGGATGCGTCATGCGCTGGCCACTGTCATCCCCGGTTTAGTGAATGAGGAGAAAGTCGCAATACGTTAGCGATGTGATGACATGAGCTCGACACCCCTGCATTAGGCTTATTGGTTTTATCCCCTTCAGATGAGATGTTATTAAAGATAGTCTTTGACTTAAGGCTATAGTTGAGCATGGAATTATGGTTGTAAGTCATATAGATTATGAAGCGACTCTCTGAATGATTGTACCTGATTTTACAACCTTTTTTTGTGGTGGTATTTTCAATCTATCCCTAAGCAACTGGGATCCTCGTTTTGCAATGTCCTACCCCAGGGGTGGAATGCAAATATTTTTACTACCAGTTCTGTGGGTGTGGCTCGGTGGGAGTGGCTAGGTGGGCATAACCATGTGATAGGGTACAGCCACCACCACCGCCACATGCCTCTTTTTGCCTTCTGGGCCTCAGGGAAGCCTCCTGGGTGAAGCAGTAAGGCAGCAAGGGGGATCCCGGAACAGCTGATCATCAGAACAGCTGATCATCAGGAGGAAAAAGAAATACCATAAGTGGGGCGGGGCAGGTGGGGGGAATGCAGTCAGTGATGTTGCACATGCGCGATAAGGACTGACTGGACGGGGAGGGGAGGGGCGGGCGGAGAGGGGAGGGGCCAGCCAGAGGCATAATTTGTCAGTTCTCCAAACTGCAGAGGATTGTAACAACCAGTTCTACTGAACTGGTAGAATCCTACCCTGTCCTACCCTGAGATTTAAACATTCTGCTAAATCCCATGCCCCATTCACTTCCAAGTTTTAGCACCATGAATTCCAGCCAACATAACCAATGATAGGATGAATCAGACTGAGGTGGTTATTATAGACTTTTAGTCACATGTATGATTGATAGGAAATAATGATCACAAAATATGTAAGTACAAGTATATACTGTACCTTGATTTACCTGTAAGGAACACACACCTGACAAAAGGCAATCTTCACATCCAGAGTAGGCTCACTGCAGTAATGTAAGAAATGGCGGCTCATAAATATCTGAAATTCAAAGAACAATGGCATAAATATTTCTCATCCAAACTGGACTTGTATATAATGCTGTCTCAATTTATTTAATATCTATGACATTGTTTCAATAGTAATGAAAATTCAAAGTTAGCTTTTAAGAAACCAGTATTAAGGTTTCTTCAAGACCAAACCTTTGTTTTCCTATGTGAGCACAAGTATCAATAAAGGAGAATATTTGCAAGAAAACAAAATGATAGATAGACAGACAGACAGACAGATAGAATAACTTTATTCTCACTTTGAATGTACACTAATCAGCATACATTAAAATGAAATTTCATTGCATACAGCTTTCAAACAGTCACCACCTCCAATATACATTACATAAACATGAATAAATAAAAAAATAAAGAAATACAAAAATAAATAACAACATAATATAGTTGGAAGGGACCTTGGAGGTCTTCTAGTCCAACCCCCTACTAAAGCAGGAAACCCTATACCATTTCAGACAAATGGTTATCCAATCTCTTCGTAAAAACTTCCAGAGTTGGAGCATTTACAACTTCTGGAGGCAAGTAGTTCCACTGTTTAATTGTTCTCACTGTCAGGAAATGTCTCCTTAGTTCTAGGTTGCTTCTCTCCTTGATTAGTTTCCACCCATTGCTTCTTGTCCTGCCTTCAGGTGTAACCAACAACCAAGCTCCAAGAGCACCAAGAACACAAGTATGCTCAGTTAGCTGGTTCTGGCAATCTGACAATTCATAATTTAGTGAGCAAGACTGACAGCATAATTGCTTAGAGGATAATGACCAGCAAAGGGAGAATTCAAGGCCTCCAAAGGGAACAAGAAACAACAAAGAGCCAGAGTAGAAATTAAAATTGGCTTGTGGGTTAGATTTGGAAAGAATTGTTTCATGTTGGACATCCGTTACCAATGTACAATCCTTGCAGTGCATAAAACGATAAGATACAGCCTTTTTGAAACATGTGGAGCATTTTCCAGAGTTGCCCTTGGATGTTTAATACTGCTTAGCATGATTCTTTCATAACAAGACTGGCTGAGGGGATGACTACCTTGGTAGGAGTAGATGAATAATTTGTAACGCTACTGAAGGAGCTATGTCTCTGTTGTCATGCACAGATGACAATTCTGCTAGAAATAACTCTTCCACATTATTTGCACAGCCACAGGCCTACAAATCTTACTCTATGCAATGTTCACATGTGTCCTTTTGTTGTTTGAAATATTATTCTTTCTGCCCTAAAGTAGAGTAGAGTAGAATACTCTTCCTGATTCTGTGGCTTCTTCCCCAAACCCCAAAAACTTTAACCTTAGACTTTCTACTATTGACCTCACCCCTTTCCTAAGGGGTCTGTAGGGGACGTGCATAAGCACCCCAGCGTGCTTACCGTCCCTATCCTATTGTTTCTTTTATTTTTCTTATATGTATCCATGTATTCATAACTATGTTTTTACTTATACCTATTATCTTGTAAGCAATTGACAAACCAAATAAACTAAAAATAAATAAATAAAGTAAATCAAACATCACTGATACCTTGTTTATGCAAAAACTAAACATAAAACAGCACAGCAGTGCGCCCAGTCTGGAGTACTAATCCTATAATTATTCTGCAATATTATTACATTTCCCATGTTTGAATGAAATATAAAAGAAAAGAAAGAATTACGCTTAAAATAAGCACTGGTAGACTCTTCTACAAACCAACAAAAGTCAACAGATTATTCTGTAGCAAAAGATTCTGAACAGACAAGAACTATCATTCAGTAGTAGGGTACTGATTTGCATGTAGTAGATCCCAGGTTCTACCCAATTGTATTTATATCTAAAATAAGAATGGGTAGATAATAACCATCAAGATATATGATGAAAAAACTTTTTCTAAAGGTAGTCCTTGAGGTATGACCATTTGTTCAGCAACCAAAGTTACAATGTGTTGAATGAGGAGGAACTTACAACCGATATGCAAAGTTGCAGCTGTTACAGCATTCGGTATATAAGTCTTAGTGCTATTCCCACAGTCATGTGATCGAGTCAGGCTTTTTACATGACTCACAGCATTAAAGCAAGCAGAGGTTCTGTGATCACCAGTGGGAAAGCCATCAGGGAAAGTTGCAAGTCACTCCCTGTTGTAATGACGAGGCAGTAGGGTTGTTTGATCATGATCAACTGAATCATGATGAACTTTATTGGAGTCTAGTCTTGCATTTATACACATTATTAATTATCCTCCAACATTGGTTAACTTTGGTTACTGCTTAACTTTTGTTACTGTTTAGCATAATAGTAATTAACACAATTAATTATCTCTAGTTAAAGTCTAACATATGTTTACTTCCTCTCTCTAATCCTCCTTTAGATTAGTGACTTTGTTTGCCTGAGTTGTATTTGCTTGTAAACATTCTTTACCTGAGGTTTGCCATCCGAGATAGGAACATTCCTGCAATTACAACTCTACAACTCCCATAAATCCTTCCTCCTGAACCATGCCAGGGCATTCGAGGTCTCAAGAATCTCACGCACCCTAGCACCCATCATCTGTGCACAACCCCTGCCAGCCTGCCTGTGGCCCCTGCTGCTACTATGCTCAGTAGTGCCCATCTGTAGTTCTTGCCCACCAGCCTAGGAGTCTGGTCAACCTTGTGAACTCTGAACCTTCCTCTTTCCGCTATGTCTTCAAGATGGACAGTGATTAATATTTATATGTATTTATACATTAGTGGGTAGGTATATACTGTATATGTGTATGTTTATAGCATATCTATATGTGTGTTGTGTATGTGTAAAGTTTTGAGAGCAGGAAACAGAATTTCATTTTTACTCTGTGCCCACAGGAAAAAAAAATGACAATAAAGGTTATCTTATCTTATATGATATTGTTGTGGCTTGTCGGCCAACGGCCCCTCCAGCAAACAAATCAGAGGAGGAGAAGGAGGTTTGGGAGTCAGGGTCAGCATCAAGGCAACCTGAGACCTCCGAGGGGGAAGAGGGAATGGAGCTGGCAGAGAAAGAGACAGAGGAGCCTGGGCCGTCCATCAGCCCTCAGATGGAGAATCAACAGCCCCCAGGTCTGGAGGTGGATGATGAAGAAGAAGAGGAACAGCTGGGTCCAGGGCCTGAAACGTGGATGCACAGAAGGCAGAGGAGAGGAGAGCAGTGGAAATCCATGGGCCGATCCTGGGGAAGGAAGAGCCACCACTGCTAGCTAAGCCCCACCCTAGCTCTGGGGATAAAAGGCAGGGGGCAGAGATGAATAGGTGTGTTAGACAACTATTCATCTTCTGGCCGGAGGGACTTGTCAACCTGAGAGAGAAACTTTTTCCTGGGGACGCTGGCACTCCTAATAAAGGAATATTTTGAGTTCACTATTGTTGTGTTTGGGGAGCTGGGTCAGAACAGATATGACGGCCTCTCTTAAGGACCCGCACAGTCTCTGGGTTATGACAAACCAGGATGGTGGTGTCTGCCATTGTTAAGTGATGAAGTCACATGATCTATGCAAACCAGCCAGACTTTTCAATTTTCAAAGTTTCTGATTATACTGCTGACTGCTCATCATCTCTACTTCTTATATGAGCTACATTGCAGAATTTGAAACATTCGGCCTCTCTTGAGCCTGAAATTCTATTTCACAGTTTTCCTATTAGACATTCAACCATCTATTCCTTATGCCACTAAATCAGGAAGCGGGTAGGAAGCAAAATCCTCTCACCATGAGCTCAGCCTAAAGTGCCTCATGCATTCAATTTTTAATGAATGAGTTACAATCTTATTTCAAAAAAGCAAAGCACACGACCTTTCTAGTGCTGTATTGTGATAGCGCAGCTTGCTGTCTCATAGCTGAGTGACTCACTACAGAAGCTTTCTGTTTCTCAGATGGTTTGATTTGGCTTCGCCCCCTCCTGTCTCTTTCTCCATTGTTTTAAAAAGCTTTTAATATTAATCAAAAGTGCAGTGATTTCTAGAAGCTCAGAAAATAATGATGTCCTCTCACTATAGGGCAGGGCTGTCAAACTCAAGGCCTGCAAGCAGGATCCAGCCCGCGATGTAGTCAGATCTGGCCTAGTGGGCCATCCTGGAAAATGTAAGGTGCCGGCCCACATTGCTTTGGCCCAGTCTACCCAATGTGAATAGGAAACATCGGGCCAGTGTGGCTTTGGCGTGGTCTACCCAATGCAAAGAGGAAACATTAGGCCAGCTTGGCTTCAACCTGGTCTACCCAATGTGAAGAAGAAACATTAGGCCAGCTTACAACCAAGTGACATCTATGAGAAATTCACCCAGAATTTTCTACTCTCTTGAATTAATTTCTAAGTCAAGTTTTCTCAACATAAAATGAATGGAAAATTTCTCTCTCCAAAATTAGTAATTGATCACCTTTCAAGATGGATCTGTCACATTTTTTTAAAAAAACACCGGATGAGTAATATTGTTGGGGGGGGTTGTGTGTTACTTGACACCTTTGTGGAGACCAACTGGATTCCCCCCACATTTGGAGAACTGGGATTACTACCATTCTGAGAAGTAACTGTTACAGAACCTTAATTATGACATCCTTTGTGAAAGATATATCTTTATATTACTTGCATTCATTGGAAATGGAATTATGCAGAAATGCTTTTTGAGGAACTCAATCCTTGGCCAAATGTTAAATCAGCATTTTAGGAATCAGAAAAAGGTAGAATCCATCAAAAAAATGAATGAACAAACTCCTAGGGGTCAAAATAACAATGTAAAATTATGTATCTGGTAACTAAATGCAAATAAATGAGTAAGGGAGTAGCATCTGAAACAACAAATCAAGGCATGAATTACTCAGCATTACCCAGTATTATAGCAAGTGTAAATAAGGGGTTCTTATATATTATTTTGTAGAGTATCGCAGGCTACAAAACCATACATACAGCTACACTATTTTAATAGAATAAGAAAAATCTCAAAATTGGCATGTGGGTTCTTTTTCTTGCATATTGTGTCACCTTTAAATTATCCGTTCAT